GGATGTGGGGGGCACCTGAGATGGGCCAGTCAGGGTGGACTGGCGGTATGTGGGTCATAAGTCATTTAACTAATGAGAGGTCAATCGGGGTTTTCTGGGGTGTCACTTGTGATGGGCCAGGGTTACCTGCCTGGGTTCCCATGCTAACTTAGGGGCACCTGCAAGATCGCTCAGACAGTTGGGTAGGACAGTCATAATATCAAGGCAACCCTGGGGTCAGTATGGAGGGGGGTTCAAGTTGCCCATCAAGGGTGTGGCGTCCAGTATGTGGGCTCCCTGGGCAAGTCAGGTGGGTCAGAATGTGGTGGGGATTTGGTCACAGATGCCACTCGAGGCTCCCTGAATTGGGGTGTCTCTTAGGTGGGGTCAGAGACAGAAGCCACTCACATTTCCCCGGTGAGCCATCCATGGGGGGCGCTGAGTAGCGGCGGTAGGTGGTGTTCCAGCGCAGAGCAGGCGTCCTGGGGTCATGCATGGTGACCGTGTACTCTGGGGGTGCCCAGTGAGGAGGTTGCCCAAACGCCCACATGCTGCGCCTCCCCAGCCCACCACCCCAGGCTGCCGCCTTGCAGAGGAGGCCGTCCCCAGCACGCAGCCTGCCGGTTGGAGTCTGAGCATCACAAGGGCAACGACTGCAGCTCCCAGCTCCTGGTTCAGCTCTCAGGAGTTGTTTGTTGACTGACAGATTGACGAACTGGCCCAGTGCATCTCGGGTGGCCATTGCCAGGCCTGGGTGGCGAAAGGGGGAGGCTACCCAGAGTCTGAGGCGCAGCGGGGACTTGACTCACGTGTCCGGCCAATGTAGAGGCGGGGGGCGGAGGGGCCCTCTGTGGTCAGTGTCATCTGTGTCTCGCCTGACTCAGGGTCCACCACAAACCAGGCATCCTGCTTCCGGCCTGTGGGGCACAGAGTGTGTCACCCCCATTGGAGAGGGTGCACGGCCTGTTCACCTGCACCTGCTGTGGGCCTGGCCCACCGGCTGGGAGATACCTGTATAGAAGACGCCGTCGGAGCTGCGGCACGGGGAGGCGTGGACCAGCTCAGGGATGGTGAACGGCAGTTTCTAAGAAGAAAGAGTTCAGGGGAGGAGTCAAACCACAGAAAAAGGTGAATCCTATGCTCTCGGTACGATGATTATGACCTCTGTTTCAGAGAGGTTGGGTAACTTGGCTCACACCACACAGCGAGCACGTGGTGGGCCAGGCCTCGAACCCAGGCAGCCCCAGAGCCAACACACTCAACCACTTTGCCCCATGACCTCCAGGGGAGCCGGCAAAATCCACACCCAAGGTGACACTTGATGCACCCGACAACCACCACAAACACACTCAGGACTTCAAAGGTGTCAACGGCCATGCAGCCTTGGGGGGTTCCTGCAGCCTTGGGGGGGTTCATTCCAGAGCAGAGGCGACTGGAGACATGAGGGCCCAAGCCCCCAAAACAATTAAGGAGGCATTGGGGAGATCTGACAAGATTCACGTGGGCTGTGGGTTCAAGTAACGCCATCTCCGGATGGTAAATTTCCAGACTTGGGTCGTTTACCCTCAGGCCACACGGGAGCAAGTGCTTGTTCTCAGAGACACAGAGAGGCTGGTGGAGTGAGGCTCAACCCATAGGCCTGCTGTGCCTCTCAGGGTGCCTGGGCTGTACCCCAGAAGCAGGAGCAGACGTGACTGGCGAGGACCCTCCAGTGTCCCTGATGAATGGGACAAAGCTCCACCCTCAGCCCTATGCTCCTCATGGACTCTCAGATCACACTGGGGGCCCCTCTGCTCAGCCTTCCAGTGCAGTTAGGATAATGCGATTCAGGGGTTCAGGTGAGATCAGGGCATGTATTCTGGGGCTCTGCTCCGCCCTTCCCCCAAGCCTCAGCTCCTATCCAGAGGCCTCTCCACACCCTCCTCTGGTGCCAGGTTGTGGCAAATGCTCCCCTCCTTCTGAGCTTGACACCCCGCTTAGGGGCCACAGGACACTGAACCCCCGCCTCAGGTTTCCCGTAATCTGCTCACACCTTTGTAATCCTGTAGGAAAACTCCCTCAAATTCTCCTGTCTGAGAGCACCACTTTTGCTCTCGGGGCCTTGTCTGACTCACACCACTACTTTTTACCAATAAGTTTCCTCAAACACACGCTTAAGACCATGCTAAAACAAACAAACAAACAAAGGTAAACTTTTACAGAGGACCTTTCTGGCGGGCTTCCCACGGCCTGGTCAGGGCTCTGACAGAGCATATTTCCTCCCGTTGGGGTAGAAACCCAGTCAGGCCCGCAGACTCAGCAGCGTCCTGACGTGGAGGGAGGATGGCAACAGGGCTGCTTCTCTCCCGGGGCGCCTGTGCAGGCCTTCCTGCTCCTCCCGTCGATGGGGAGCCTGTTTCTTTACAGGTTGACTCTGCCCTGGGCCGTGGACCCCAGAAGCTGACGAGATGGCACAGGCTGCGACAGCAAAGCCCACACCCTGCCCGCACCCTTCATACCTGGAGAACGGCCCGTGTGCCTTCTTGGGGTCGGGCACAGCCCAGTTGCCAGTGCCAATAGCCCCCGCCCCCAGCCCCCTTTGACAAACAGCCATCTAGCAGCCACAGCTGGAGCCAGCTGAGCCGAGACCCCAGCCAGGGCAGCCTTCGCGGACAACCTGCACTGTTGTGAGCTGGGAGGCTGGGTTTAAGCTGCTGAGCTTGGGGTGACTTGTCACTGAGCACCAGCTAACTGACAAGCAGATTTCCCGAAAGCCCTCAGCGTCTTGGATAAGTATTACTTGTCAGGGGTCTGACAGTCACCCTGATCTGCAGACACAGCCAGAGCCACCCACTGCACCCCCTTTCAACGGGTCACTAGTGGGGGTTCAGAGCCCTCACGTAGCCCCTCCCTGCAGGCCTCTGGTGTCTGACCACACTGCCCCTCCCCACAGGGCTCTGGCTAACAGCCGGCTCTGGGGACTGGGAAAACACACCATTAGTCCCTGTTGCTCCTGGGTCCCCAAGACGTACAGGCTGCCATCGGCCGGGTCTGAGAGGAAGGCCATTCTGTGGAGCAGAGGAGCAGAGGGGAGGAGGTTGGTGCCTGCCCCTGGTGTCACGAAGGCCCCCTTTCCTTCTGACTTCTCCGAGAGTAGGAGCCTCGCAGGAGCCTCCAGACCCAGGCCCCTCCCTGACTCCCAGGGGCAGCCCACGCCCACCCCGCCTCCCAGCTGGTCCTCTTTCAAAGGCTGCAGGTTCACTTACTCTGTGACGACCATTGGCCCTTGGATGATGGGATCTGCGGGGACAGGGACGGGCTGTGTGAGTGGGTCCCTCCAGACACCCCACTGAAAAGCACTCACATTCATCAGGTGCTCCTGCGTGCTAGACACACAGGGACAGGACGCACACTTCCCCAAAACGCAGTGGCCCCTTGCACAGGTCAGGACACAGAGGCTCAGAGAGGCCCGGTGACTTCCCCGAGGCCACATAGCTGGCTGGTGGCAAGGCCGCCCAGATGCTGGCGTGCTGGCTCACAGCCCCCGTGTTTTTACACTGCCACAGCAGTGCCCAGCCAGCCCCAGCAAGGGGGGCAAGGGAGGAGGAGTGACCGCCCTCCCCAGCTCACCATCCCTCAGAGTCCACTTCACATCCCCTGTCTGCTTGCTCAGGGCATGGAGACTTCCATCCAAGGTGGACACAAGCAGGAGGTTCTCAGGACTGAGGGGCTGGACCTGTGTTGGGAAAGAAGGGCCCTTGAGCAGCCTGGCATGCCCCCTTGTCCTCACCCCAGACAGGGCTGGCCGGGACCCTCTGTCCTGCCAGGACACAGAGAAAGAAGCAAGGGTGACTGGGGGAGCTGCTGGGTCCCCCCCTACTGATTTTGATGGGAAGAATGGTTATGGGGGGCCGGGGGCTCGGCTTCCCACAGTCTATGCTCCCACCTCTTCCCCCCTACATTCCCTCTGGTTTGCCAAAAAAGACGAAAGGCCTTTATGAAAGAACTCCGCTGTCCCCATCGCCTCGCACACACTGATCTCTGCAGCCTGCCTCTCCGGGGTCGGATCCCCTTCTGCCTTCTCAAACCAGCCCAGCTGCTTCTGGTGCTAGGCTCCTGCAGGCCCCCCAAACTAAGGCTGGGGGTGCCCTTCCTGCTGGGCCAACTCACCTGCTCCAGTCCCTCCTTGAGCAAACAGGGTGAGGCTGAGCTCCTAGCAGGAACCCTAACATCCGGGTGGCCCAGTCGCACCCTGCAAAGGCCATATCCTGCTCCAAGACCCTCAGGCCTTCTGGGGACACAATGGTTTTGGTGGAGAATCAGGGACCCCCCCCCCAGCCCCTCTGTGTGCCTCTGTGTTGTGATCTGCAACACAGCAGGGGAAAGAATGGTCTGGAGAAGCGGCTGCCACTTCTTCTGGAGCCTTCAACCGCCAGTCGAGTTTTGTTTGACCATGATAGTATTTAAAATCTGTTTTTAACTATCTGTCAATAAAAAAATTCAAATGATTTCACTTTGAACACCTTATTTTTCTGATTTCTGGTTTTACTAATTTTCCTGGAAACGCGAGCTGGTAATTCGGGCTCACTTTCTTCCCTGGCGGCCACAGAGCGGACCCAGAGTTGAACAAGGCCTGGGGGTGCCCAACTAACCTTACTGTGATCTCCTTAGCTGTTCTGGGGCGCCTAGGCTGGATTCTAGGCTGGTGGGCTCTCCCCTTGTTGCATTTCTGCAAAACTGCACCCCCCACCACCACACCCCCTTGGCAAGGAATCTATATCCCCACAGGGTGCTTCTTTCTCCCCGAGGTCCAGACCCTTGGATCCAGAAATGGGTAGGCACGATGCTCCTCAACTGCCTGTGAAACTAGGTGTCAGGCTCTTCTTGAGCCCTAGGGTGAACACATGCTCCAAGCGAGCTGCGATCCCAGTTTTCATGGGTGTGACAGTAAGCGTGCTCTCCTGTCTCCTCCACCTGTGTCTGCAGGAGGGGTCTTGAGTCTGCCAGGGCCTCTCCAGGCTGGCACTCTCCCTGGCCAGGCGTTTGGGGGTCTTCTGGCGACTCCCCCGACTCCCCCCAGGTGAGGAAGTTTTCACTAGCCAGGGGCCGACTTGGGGCCACGCAGCCAGAGGGAGGATGAGGGACCACCTGTTGTTCCCCAGCACAACCCACAGACCTGACCTTGGGGCCCCCCCACAGACCCGACCTTGGGGGCTCCCCTCTGCCTGGCTTCTCACCTCTGACGGCAGCATCCCGAGCAGCGCCGTGAGCTGGAGCAGGAATCCGAGCCGGGGCCAGGGCCGGGGCCGGGGCCGGGGACTGGGCGGTGGCGGCGGCCACAGCCAGGACCCCCGGGCCAAGCTCGCCATAGCCCTGGGCAGACCTGGCAGCCTCCCTGGGAGCCTTCCAGGAACAGCGCGCCCCGCCAGCCGCCAGTCGCCAGCCGGGAGCAAACTCCGCCCCGGGCTGGGCCAGCTGGGGCCCAACCTCCCTCCTTAGGTGTATCCCTTTCCTTCCCGCCCTTCCCATCACGCTCGCCCCAAAGCCGCAGTCATCCGGGCTGGGTTAGCGCTGGGCTTTCCTAGAAAGGAAACTTGCCCGCCGAGGCCATTTACGGGGAATTTCAACGAGTCAAGAACTGTACCAAGTGCTTTAGCTCTCTGCGTTTCCAGGGGAGTGCCCAGTCGGACTGGCATCAGATCCAGATATCTGACCGCAAAGGTGTGCTCTTTGTAACTACCTAGGGACCTCTGCCCAGAGACTTTGGAATAGAGATTCATTCACGGAGATAGCCGTTCATTCCATGATGTATTCATTCAGGGTAATGTAAGGCAAGCCAGAGAGATAGAGGTCCCTGTCTTCCAGAACTTGCAGAGTTCTATACGCTTGATGTCAGTGCAAACAGCTTCAAAGAAACTTCTGGTGCCAGTGACACCAGAGTAGCTTACCCAGCTGGTATCGCTCTGTCCTGGCTGCCAGAGTGAGCGGCTAAGGGCTCACCCAGGTGCCCACATCCCTGCAGAACTGCATTTGGCTGGCTGGGAACACTTTCAGGTTTTCCATTGTGCAGAATTACCTTGGCTGTAGACTTGTGTGGTCTCTATTATGTTGAAGTAGGTTGTCTCTTCCCATCTTATCTTTTGAAATTAAAAAAAATTACTTATATGTACAAGAGCTGGGGCACAGGCCAGAGGTGCAGGGAAATGAGAGGTGGCAGATCTACTGAAATACACTGTGGAGGGGAGTAGCGGGCAAGATAGGAGAGGTCTGTGTGCCATGTGGGTCACCCCTGGCCAGCTGGGAACCAAACTCGTGCCGCAGTGGCTGGGAACGATTGACAGCGCTGTCTACAATTCCTGCACCACCAGGGAGGCCCCTTCTCTTGAAGATTTTTACCGTACATGGGAACTGAATCTTATTAAGTGCTTTCTCTGTGTCCTTGGGTATGTTCATGAGGTTTTTATCATTTCTTTTGTTGAGGTAATTTTTTGCATTGATTGATGTATCCACATTAAACTATCCTCGCATACCAGGGTTTGCTCCTGCTTGATCATGAGGTATAACCCTTGTGCTGTGTTGTAGAATTAAATTTCCTGGTATTTTGTTGAACATTTTCACATCATTATTCATCAGGGATATTTGTCTGTACTTTTCTGGTGCTGTCTTTGTCTGGCTTGGGTATTAGGGTACAGGGACCCCTTTTTCTCCTGGCTCTTTCCCCCACCTTATCTGGCTTTCTTGCTATCCTGTTCTCCTGGAGAGTTCTTCCCAATACAGCCTTGAACAAGGATCCCTCCGCCAGGCTCCACTTTTAAGGACCTAATCTGAGAAGCCCGCTAATCACATTCTCATCAGATGTGTCCTTAGAAAGCCCAACAGTTGCATGGAGCAAAAAACCTCCTTCAGAAACATACACATCGCCGAGTCTTCAGCTTCCTTGATTTGTCCTTCATACTTAGCTGCTCTAACACCTTCCAGTCAGCATGCTGAACGGCTCTAACCTCGTGACACAAATGATAGCTTGCATTGCAGAAGCTGGTGCAAGCTCTGAGTGTGCAAACGAGCCCTACACTGCATGTTCGTTTTTTGCAGTGTACATTGTGTCTGCTAATTATGCTTGGAGCCATAGGACCTGGAATAAATAATTGCTTCGTGTGTGTGTGTGTGGTGATATAAATAAAACACATCCTAGAAGCTTTATACAACCCAGAAAAATGTAATTAAGAAAAAAAATTCATTCATGGTTTCATCTCTTGAAAACAAACTGCGTTAACATCTGACACATTTCCTCCAGTGGTCCATTCTTTTCCCATGTCTGATGGGACACTATGTTGAAATATTAATGTTTTTCTCTTCTAGGATTCTTCCTCTGACAGTGAGTTTCCTCTGAATTTATTGCCTCAGAGAAAGGATGATGAAGCAGAAAAAGAGAAAACAAAGCTTCTTTTATCTTTCTAGTTCTCAAATAATTTAGGGCATGAGCCTAGACTTGAGAGAATAAATAATGAGAGTAAAAATGATTCCCAAGACTTGGAGTGGAAGGTGGAGTGAGGAGGTACCGCAGGTCCCCAGGACAGGGGAGTTGGTTGCTGGCTCCTTCTTTTAGGGCAGGACCCCATTTAAGTTTATAGGATCCAGGAGCAGAGGGAACATGTGTGTCTCAACTGCTGGGTTGAACCTGGGGAAGGAATAGTTGCACGTGTAGGCAGAGATGGGGGTCAGAAAATGTACAAGCTATAAAAAAAAGAAACCCAGATATATCTGAAATAGGTAGAAATTAACAAAAAAGCTTTAGAAGGGCAAAAGATAAACAAACAGCAGATCTGAAAAATATTGGCAAAACGGATGATAAATAAAGATTAACATCTATATACTATGCAAACTGCTCCTATAAGTTGACAAGAAAAAGACAAACACAACCAAGAAATATGCAAAGGCTATGAATAGGCAATTATATAAGATCAGCTCTAAATATGTGAAAATGTGCTCAAAGTCACTAGCAGTCAGAGAAATGTAAAAACGAGATTTAAAAAAAGTAACAAGCATATCACTTTATGCCCATACATTTGCAAAAATTAAAAAGAAGTCTACCGTAATGGCAAAATGCTGATAATTGCTGAAGCTGAGCTGTATTTGGGACTCATTATGCCATCCTATTTACTTTCAAGGTGTCTGAAACTGTCCATAAAAAAAGAAAAAAAAAAACTTCAAACAAACAAAAACAAGAAGGCTGAGACTATTGCTGCCAGGAATTTGGGGAAGATTGTATTTTCATATGGGGCTGGTGGGATGTAAATTGTTACAGCTTCTGGTAACAACTGCTTAAAATAAAAAATACATAATCCCTTTGACCCGCAAAACCTACTCTTGGGGTTCTTCCCCATAAAAATACAAATTCCTCCCATACATACATATGTAGTGTGTGTGTGTATGTACTTAATGCGGCATTGCTCTGAGTGCAAACAAGTAGAAGCAAAACAAGGACCCTTCAACTGAGAAATAACTGACCTAACTACAGAACATCATACTTTGGAGTATTACACAGTCACTAAAAATTATTAATAGAGTATATTCATTAACTTGAAAATATTTCTATGAGTGGTATTGAGTAAGAAGAGTGAATGTGGCCCTCCCTGGTGGTGCAATGGGTTAGGACGCAGCACTGCAAGCTGGCTGTAGCCGCTTCAGTGGGAGTTCAATCCCCTGCCCCAGAGGTGAGCCACATGGCGAGGCAGACCTCTCCTGTCTTGCCTGCTGCTCCCATCAGCAGTGAACTTCGTCAGTCTGCCTGTTCTGCTCTCCATTCTGTCTCTGGTTAAGCCTCTCACTGCCCCTGCACCTCTGGCATGTATGCAGAATAAATAAATCTTGAAAAAGAAGAAGAAGGAGAAGAAGAGCAAATGCAGAGAACAGCATTATAGGAGCCTACTTTTGTAAAACCATGTGCATTATTTAATATGTTTGGATAAAAATACAGAATGCAATATACTGGTTTGCTAACAAGAATTTTACAATAGCTGAACAGGGTGGGTAGGTTGTAGATGGAAAGTGGGGGAGCTCAAACCAGCCAAAAAAAAAAAACTTATTTTTTTTCAAAAACTGCTCAACATACATCACATACATTCCACTGATGTAAAAGTACTTGTACAGGTGTAGGGTGTATATGTACATGGATGTGCATGTAAAGCCTTGCCCTGGTGAAACAGCAGCTTCCATAACATGCAGACAATTGTCATGTCCAGGTTTCCACACCCTGCCAGTTCAGTGCATAAAAAGTCAGCTCATTAGAGTGGCTTCTTAAAAACAACAAAAAAAGTTTCCTTTTACTCTGTGTTAAAAAAAAAAGGCACTATTGAAAAAAAAATGACGACCTCCTTCACATATTAGATTTTACTTAACCTGTTAACTAACTTACAAGGAAGGTTTCGTTGTTCCCATTCCACAGAAAAGAAAACCGAATTTCAGAGTGGTTAAGAAATTCGCGCGCATTTACAAAAACGTGTAAGCGCCAGTGGTTTAGACCGCCTCTGCCTGACTCCCCAGCCGGTGACCTTAACTTTGCTTCACGCTTCCTTTCTCCTGGTGGTCTTGTGACGCGGTTTTCACAGGTGCACGTCGTCCAGATAAAGGGGCCACCGCTCCTGTTATAACAAAGGAGGCAGCGGCTTCCGTTAGACCACTGGGGCCAGCTCGCTCACTCTAGCTGGTTTGCTAGCCCTCTAGCTGAGGTCCAACTGGGGTTCTCTGCTCAAACTTGGTCCCCTTCTGTCTCGGAAATCTTATGGCTCAGATCTCCGCCAGGGCCTCGCCAAATTCACGTTTAGCACTCAGGCATTCCTCTAGCTCCTCCCACTGGGGGGTGGGGGAGGCGATGAGTGACCATCCATCTCTGCTGGGAAGACCTAGGAGGTCAGGTGCTCAGGCTGGATTTGGGAGCCACGGTCTCTCACGGCCAGGAGGAGGAGCAAGGAGAGGCCTCTAGTGGGGATTGTGAGAACTGCAGGCTCATCGTACTGGTCAGTCCCGCGAAGCCAACCTGTTTCTGCTGCTGCAGGTGAGCCGGTTCCTCATGGGAGGGGTGGGGGTGGGGCGATAAGGGAAGAGAAGGCTAGCGTCACTCAGGGGTACAGGGAGACGTTGCGGATCCCACTTCCTGATGTGGGAGCAGGTTGCACGGGCCCTTGTGTGTACTTCATTCAACCAGCTGGAGTTGGTTTCTGGAAGTCCAGTGCTATATTTCTGAAATTTTGTGAGCAGAGCATTCAGTGAGTCACAGCCATAGATAAAAATTAAGTTACATAAAATTGCAATTAAATAAGTCACCTTTTAAAAAGATTTATCTATTTATGCATACAGAACTGGGGTACAGGCCAGAGGTGTGGGGGTGGTGAGAGGCTTCACCAGAGACAGAGCGGGGAGCAGAACAGGCCGACTGACAAAGTGCCCTGCTGAGGGGAGCAGCGGGCGGGCCAGGAGAGGTCTGCCACGCCATGTGGTCACCTCCGGGGCGGGGATCGAACTCATGCTGAAGTGGCTTTAGCTTCTCAGTGCTGCGCTTTAACCCGCTGCACCACCAGGGAGGGCCCTAAATAAGTCATTTTTAAAACAAAAGTAATATATACTTGAAACGTAACACTTCCTCATTATTTTACCGTCCTGGCTGCTCTTGAGATGTCTTGCACATTTATGGGGAGTCCTACCGAATGACCCCCAGGGCGCACCACAGCTGGAGCCACACGAGCCATTGCAGCTGGGCACCAGCTGTTGAGGGAGTATTCGAACTGTGGAAATGAGGAGGCGCTACACATCAAGGCTTGACTTACTATTGGGCCCATGCGTAGACTTAATAAGGGATTGTTAGTGGACAGAATGAGGGGCTACCCTTAACCCCCAACCTACCTGCTCTATAAAGCTTCTTCCATCTATCACATCAAGAGAAAGTTTCCCCATGAAAAATCCAAAGCTACCCACTACCTAGTGGTAGTAAATGCCCAGACAGACAGAGTTGGTCCAACGTGGGACACTGAACTAGAAACCTTGCCACAAGTTTAAGGCACCTTCTCATTGGGGACCTATAGGGAGAGGGCAGAAGCAGCCAGGAACACCTAGAAGGAAAAAAGCAAAACCAGAGTACAAGTCGACGTAAAGGCTGCCGCTGTCAGCCTCCCCACAGGCCTCTTCACGTCTGTGTCTCTTTCCAGCGTCTCCTTCCATGTCCAAGTCCCTGGCACAAAGCCAAGCCAGAGAAGCAAATGTGTTCACAAGTGTCTCTGCTCTGAGTGCCTCCTCCAAGTCCTCCTCCCTTCCTCCCTCCCTCCTTCACCTCCCTCCCTGCCTCTGCCAAGTCCTTCCCTCTTTTCCAGCTTCTCTCTGCTCAGCTCCACCCTCCCTTAGGTGGGGCAGGGAACCTGGAGCTTCCCCTTTCTATGCGGACCACACTGTGACTGCGGGGAACACAATGTCAATCATTCAGGTTCAGTGTCAAAGTGTGTTGTGTCTGGGAATGGCAAAACCAAATCAAGGAAATCAGGTTTGCAAAAGCTATTATGTGACTCAGCAAAGGCGGGACTCACACTGAGGACCAATGAGGGAAGATCTTTGCTGTTTCACTTCCTCTTTCTTGATGGTTAATGTAAACAAAAGCATCTCCTGGAGAGCAGCATGCCATATGCTTCAATAAAAGGTTTAAAACAAATAGAGCTGCAGGCCCATGGACATCTGCTTTATGGTTGAAGTATGATGGGTCTCAAACTTTGTTGAACTTTCTTAATAAAATATAAGAACATTGAAAAAGGAAATATCATTCCCCAAATAAGCAAAAACCTTGCAGCCTCAGCTCTAGGCTTGCTGAGCTATCATGCTGCTGAACAGCATCTGTTCATGGGGTTCCGGGGTGTTCCCTGCATAGCAGACACTAAGTGTGTGTGTGTGTGGGGGGGGGTCCTATCACTATTTTCCACACTGTGGATGTTGGATGTTCTCCAGTGCTTCGCCCTAGTATGAAGCCTCTCTCAAAAGTTGCCAAGAGAGGGCCCTCCTTGGTGGCGCAGTGGGTTAAAGCTGAAGCCAATTCCTCATGAGTTTGATCCCCGCCCCAGAGGTGACCCACATGGCGGACACACCTCTCCTGACCCGCCCACTGCTCCCCTCAGCAATGTACTTCGTCAATCTGCTCCCCACTCTGTGATGAAGCCTCTCACTGCCCCACCTCTGGCCTGTACCCCAGTTCTGTATGAATAAATAAATACATCTTTAAAAATAAGTTGCCAAGAGCTTCCACCTCTGTTGTCCAGCAAAGTCAAGGTCAAGGAAGTGTCAAGGAGCCAGCCCTGTAGTCCATGATCTGCTTCTGAGACGCCCCTTTACCTAAGACCCATCTCTGCCTCTTCTCACCCAGTTTCTCTCTCATGGCCTGACAGGTTTCTCCAAGGAGAGTTCCCCAGTAATCACCTTGTCTGGAACCCCATTCGCAGTCTCTGCTTCCCAAGGACCCAGGGGAAGTCCTTCCACGGAGTAAGTGGCATCTTCCAGTGGGCTAAAGCGATTCCACTTCTGGCTAGTGAGGGCTGAGGCTTATTTCTAG